AGTTTATATTATTAGGATACAGAAGACCTAGCTGGTGAGACTTAAGTGAGCCTTTAACTAAATGCTCCCTGCAGCCTCAGAGTTTGGTTTGAAGATCCAACCTTTGAGTTCATAGAAAGAATAAAACTTTCTGGAGACGAACTCCCCATCGAGTTCTTTTGCTTTGACTGGGCAGTTCTCTCTCAGTGGACATGCGGACAGTAGCAGTGACATCTCGGATGAAGGTCAGAGAAACAAAGGGGGTTTGTGGCAATGTGTGGAGACAACTTTTCTCATCCTTGTTGTCTTCTCCCGGCAGACCTGGGTGGGGAACAAGCGCCGGAAGCTGACCTCCAAGACGGAGCAGAACGGAGTGGCGCAGGGCCCGCCCAATCACGGCCTGGCGGGAGGGGGCGGGGGCGGGGCCATGGCGGGGGCCGTGCTGGCGGCCGAGATCGCGGCCATGCGCGGCGTGTCGGGCATCCAGCGGGGGGTGCCGCTGGCGCACCTCCTGCCCCCCGCCTCCTCCTCCTCCCCCTCCTCCTCCTCCTCCTCCTCCTCCTCCCCGCCCTGCAGCAGCAGCAGCACCAGCGACGTCATCGTGACGGGGGTCTACACCCTGGCGCCATCCTCCAGCCGTGTGGAGCCCGCCAAGACGGCGCCCAAGCCCCCGCCGCAGACGCACGCGCACACCCCCCTGCGGGGCGCCGGCTCCCCCGTCTACAGCAAGCCTGCTGTGCCACCCCGGAAGGGCCTGCAGGCGGGCCCCCCCAGCACTGCCTACTGCCAGGTCAAGAGGTCCTTCCCTGGGGCCGCGAGCCCTGGGGCAGAGCCAGCGGGGGCCCCCCGGACTTGGGCCAGGCAGTTCCCCGCGCAGCACCAGCCCTGGGGCGTCCTGAGCGAGCCGCCCCCCCCCGCCCCCTCCTCTGGCCCAGCTCCGCACCCCAGCTTTGCCCCCAGGCCCCGCGGGGCGCAGGCCGGCGTGAGGATCCAGCAGGTGTTCACCCTGGCCCCCAGGGGCGGCGGGGAGCCCCAGCAGAAGCCCGCGGGGCAGCGGGGGGGCGGCTGCCGGACGCGGGCGCCCGACAGCACGAGCTGCTTCTCCATTGCCATGGAAACCGGGGACGCGGACGACGAGTACGCGCGAGAGGAGGAGCTGGCCAGCATGGGGGCGCAGATGCAGATCTGTCCAGCGGGGGGCGGCAGCAGCCGGAGCAGCAGCAGCAGCAGCTCGGAGCCAGGCGCCCTGCGGCAGAGAGACAGTCCCGGGGGGCTGGTGCCGGGGCACAGCGGGGCAGGGGCCGGCGCGGGGAACACCGCCGGTGTCACCCCTCCTTCCTCGGACTCATCGCCCACAGCCCCGTACCCCGGCAGCAGGGGATACCAGGCCCCATCTACCTCCTCTCACTACCCTCCCGGGCACAGCGCCCTCTTCAGCAGCACGGCGCCGCGCGGGGGGTACCCTGGCAAGGTCCACGGCGCCGTGCCCAGCCACGGCTCGCCGCAGAGAGTCGGCAACTACCAGGTGAGTGCGGCCGTCCCCCCCCCCCCTCCGTGCCTGTGCCCGGGCGCGTGTGTGCGTGTGCTCAGCATTCAAGGCTGGGAGCCAGCGGAGAGGCACGAGCGGGGCGCGCTTCCACGGGCCTGACAAGCTAACCGGCCAGGACTCCCTGAGAGCACCATCTGCTGGCGCCTCCGACCTCCTGGAGATGTGTGCAGCCATCACACGGCCAGGCTGGGTGGACGTAAGGTCTCTAAGGCAGGGCAGAAGGAACGGGGGAAAGACTGCTCTCCTAGTGAATGAGCCGGCTTTTGGAAAGGCCTTGGGATTTCAGACTCGCAACATGTTAAGCAGCATCGTAAATCGCCCACTTCACCTAAATGTAAAACAAAAGACTGAAAAATGCGATGAAGTCATCTGTTTGCCACTCCACAGCGTGCTGTATGTGTGGGTGTGCATTGTTTTATACGGACGGGACACCAGTCCATCGCAGGGCAGACGCACAGACACAGAGAAAAACACACTCACACCAGGGCCACCTTTCAGAGGAGCCATTAAACCTACCAGCGTGTTTTGGGACTGTGGGAGGAAGCGGGAACACCTGGAAGAAACTCATGCGACCACAGGGAGAACATGCAAACTCCACACAGACAGCACCCTGGGTCTGGAATTGAACGCCGGACCCCAGCCCTGAGAGGCAGCAGTGCCAGCCAACCACAGCGCCAACGTGTCGCCTTAATAAGAATCCTGAACACTTTTCAAAACGCCTCTGACAGGGCGTGATCCTCCTCTTCCTCATCCCTTGCTGTTATCCAGGGCCTCTCCAGGCCGAGCTACAGTATTAGTTGGCACTGCGGCTCTGGCTGTGTGGGGTGCAGAGGGCGCCGAGCCAGGCTTTAGCTGGTACCACTGTGCCAGGAAGTGGTTTCGACTGCCCACGGCCTGTTCTGTGTGTGAATTTGTCTCCCGCATCTTCCAGGAAGAATATGACTTCCTGGTGTGAAGTCTTACGCCCCTCTCCTCTCTGTGTTGGTTGCAGGTATCGGGCAATCTAACCGTTCCCTGGATCACGAGCAACTCTCGGAAGAGGACAGTAAGTGCCAACAGTGCCCGTCACCCCGGTGCCCCCCTTCGCCTTGTTGGCAGTGTGCTCTAGTGCGCAGGAGATCTCTCTAGTGGCCGAGCTCTTCTGCTGTGTTTGCCTGTGGTGTGAGGTTGCTTTCCGAGCATCGCAGGCTTGTGCGACGCGCAGTTGCGATGCTGTGCAATGATACAACTCCGCACTGTAGAAATTGGAGAAGTGAGGGTCAGGAAGTAGAGGATAAAGTCAACAATCAACAAGATTCTGCAGAGGCACGGCCTGGAGAGGAAACGCCCTGCCGACTGTATCCAGGTGGTGAGGGTACAGTTTCCTTTCAGCCTGAATGCACTGATCTGGACTTGGCTCTGTACCTGGGCGATTGGCAGCAGTTTTCTTCTGACCCCTACTTGTCACTTGAATACTGGCAGCATTTAAAAGTGCTTTCCCCACCCCATAGTGCACCCCGAAATTCTCTCTAAATTTACAGTTCGCCCCCTTGGTGCCAGTCAGGACCGGGCTGCTGTTGTTGTGGCTGTGGTTAAGAGTGCATTGGCATGACTTTGAGTGTGGATCACAGCGCGATGTAGTTAATATCATTACTGCTGTCCAGAACGTGCTGATGGTGATGATGGTAACACCAGTCTGTGTGCTTGATTGTGCTTGTGGCTGGGAATGTGTGGGTGTGGGTGTGGGTGTGGGTGGGGGGGGTTGGTAAAGCTGATGTTAGGCTTTGAGGTTAGTTGGTGATTTTGTGCCATGCTTCTGATTGTTTAATGAGCACAATGTACTGTACTGTAATGGACTATATCCAGGTCGTAATGTGCAAGGTTTTCCTTTGAGTGCGCTAACCTTGACTCGACTCTGAACTTGAACACAATGACTTTATTAATCAATAAGGGATCTTGATTGATTGATTGGTTGAGAACTTGGCTGAACTTGGGAGGATGGTACAAGGCCCTCCATGAGGAAGAGCTGTGTCCCGCAGGGGTAGGACCCCGATTAGGGTCGGGCCCGAGTGGATCGAAGCGGTGGGCGCGAGCTGATTGTGGGGGCTGGGAGGGTATTGATCTGCAGCTCGGCCGCACGAACGAGGAGTTTGCCAGACCAGGGGGGCCCTAGGGGGGCTTTCATATGCCGTGCCGAAGGGGCGGGGCTGGAGGGTGGCAGCAGGTGTCGCTTTGATCCCGGCCTGGAGCGAGGGTGGTGTGGGATCTGTGCGTGAGAATGTCAGACACGCTCGGGTCCGACAGAGCAGCACAGCCCCCCGCTGCGTGACTGTGAGAAGCTCTCTGGGGGGGTAGGGGGTCTGCACATCAAAACGATGAACACAAAATCTTTCTCAGGCAGTAAAGGCTCTCTGTCATCCTAGTTCTTTCATCCGTTATAGGTTTTACAAGCTGCACACTGTGGTGTGTGTATGCTGCCAATCGGTGTGAGGTGGTTTTTGTTATCATGTATAATTTTGGAAGGAAAACAGAGGTACAGTTATAACATCATCAACGACTATGGAGATTCCTCTGTTGTCCATGAATGACTTCTACATAATGATTTTTACAAGAGCCTGCAGTTTGTAGAATTTGAAATACGTCAAACTGCTTTGCAATGGGAACCTTATGTTCATCTCTTTGGTTTTGGAAGACGCTGTGTTTAGTTGAGGTGCCCCAGGTGAGAGCGGCTCTGTCTGTTCCTTGCAGCTGCAGGACCGGACTCAGTTCAGCGACAGGGACCTGGCCACACTGAAGAAGTTCTGGGACAATGGGATGACCAGCCTGGGCTCTATCTGCAGGGAGAAGATCACAGCTGTGGCTGCAGAGCTCAGTGTGGACTGCGAAATCATCAAGGTAAGAGGACAGAGCAGAGAGGAAAGTAGGAACAAGATCAGGCAGAGGAGTCAGAGATCAGGGAGAGAAGACGGGGACAGGAGAGAGGGAGCAGAGAGAGGAGACAGAGATCAGGGAGAGGAGAGAGGGAGTGGGGAGAGGAGACAGATCAGGGAGAGGAGAGAGGGAGTGGGGAGAGGAGACGGAGATCAGGGAGAGGAG